TTTATGTTAACATATTCGTTATATATATATATATATATATATATATATATATATATATAAACAAGGCTTCACCGGGGTCAACACCCTCCCTTTTATGTGAGAACCACATTACAACAGTCTACACAAAGCGCGAGAAGGTTATTCCAGTTACCCATAGTTTTGTTCGAACCACCGCGATCAGTGCATTGCGAATTTTCCCTAGGATTGCGAATGTCACCCTTACTTTTAACTGCATGGTGATGTCCTATGTCGGACGAAACGTTGCGAACATTTCACGATTAAATGCATCTCATTGAGCCACATAAGAGGAAGTGCGCTCGCAAGCAAGGGAAAATTTAAGAAGCTATTGCACAGCAAATCAGTAGCGCTGGCGGGGGGCACAGGGGGTATGTGTCTCCCCCCCCCCCCCTCCTCTCCTTAGGTTTCGAAGGGGCCTACGATTTAGAGTCCGATTTAAGGGCCCGAAGGACCCGATAGGCCGACCGGAGGCTGCATTCGGGGGTCCGGCCCGCAGGGCGGGGCACTTCAATGTCATCCAGAGGGCCTTGCGCGCCGATCAAGCGCCCCTTGAATCGATACGGGCGTATATGTTGGTCAGACACCATCATTTACGCAGTCAGTTCCGTGGCGGCATGGGTCCGAGCGCCCATTCCCCAAGCAGGAACCAGCGATTTACATTGTTCGGGGCCCCAGCGTCTGCCAGGGTCCCCGCAGCGTCGAACAGGGGTCCCTGTGTTGGCAAGGGCCCAAGTCGTCCAGAGGCAGTTTTCGAAGAGGCCCGAAGAGCCTGGAGGGCCCACCGGGACTGACAATCAAGGGCACTATTGGAAGGCTTAAGGGTATGAAGTGCTGCTCGGGTCTTATTCAGGGTCTGCAGTGCTGGACCCTCATATGACAGTTAGAGAGCCCTTTGCGCTGATCGGGGACCCCCTGATTCAATACGGGCCTACATGCCGGTCAGGTACCACGAGTACCGCACAGTCAGCTACGTGTCGATCTGAGCTCGTGAGCCTACTTCCCAATCAGTTACAAAGCCGAGGACTGCAATTTACACTGGTCGGGCCCCTTTGCCTGTCAGGCTCCCCAGTGTCTAACAGAGGTCCTTTGTTCGCAAGGGGCCCCGAACCGAACCGATAACTAAGAGCCCGCTTGGAGGGCTTAAGGGCCCGAAGGACTGACTGTAGGTCACATACAGAATTGCGGCCCGTATGGTCGTGACTTAAAACATCAGCTCTCTCGCACCGTTTGAAGACCCCTAAGACAATGCGAGTGTCTCGGCTGGCGAGGGACCACGAACACCTAACAGTTGAATCCCTGTCAGTCTGAACTCTGAACCCTGGTGCCCATTTCTCAAGCAGGAGCGAGCTCGAGGGCCACGACTTGCATCGGTTTGGGCCCCTGAAACAGTGGTCGGGGTCCTTCCGTCGATCAGGGGCCCGCAGTACCAAACAGGGGGTCATGTGTCAGCTAGCGGCTCCCTGTCGGTCGCAGGCTTTGTTTGAGGAAGTTCGAAAAGGGGACGAAGCTCCCCTCGGGACCAAAGGCCAGGGATTCGATTAGAAGGCTGAAGGGCCCGAGGGGCTGGCTGTAGGCCACATTTAGTACCCCGCCCGTAGGGCTGTGATCTCAGATGTCTGTAAGAGGGTCTCTTGTCCCGATTGGGGACCCCCGAGGCAGCCTGTTCCTTTTTTTCGGCCAGAGATCACGAACACTGAACAGTCGGCTCCGTGTCGGTCTGATATATTGGGGCCCATTTCCCAAGCAGGGACAAGGCCGGCCCCGCGCGTTGCATTAGCCGGGGCCCCTGCAACAACGCGAGGCTTTTGTATCGGCCAGGGACCAGTGCCTAACAGGGTGTTCTGTATCAACATGGGGCCTTGAGGCAGGTCAGGGGGTCATGTGCTCAACTGGGGACGGGGACGGGACCCGGAATGACAGAGGACCTCTTGCGTTGGTTGGGTTCCTTTGACCACAAAGGAAACATTACAATTATGATGAAGTGGTCACACTGAGGACAGTGGGAGGTTCCTGTGCCATCCAGGGCCCCCATAGTACCGAACGGCGGTCCCTTCGGTCCAATTCCGGCAATGTGACGCTAGGCTAAACTGGAGTCTATGCGCCAATTAATGGACCGTCTTGCGGCGATCAGGGATTTGTTGCCGCGTCACTGAGGGTTTCTCTGTCGATCCGTGGCCAATTGCGCGGGCCAGGAAGACCTTCCGTGTGAGGAAGGGACCAATGTGATATGACGTAACCCCCGAAGGGCATCCGGATCGCCCAGAAGATCCTATCCCGTGTCTCTAGAATGACAAGCCGAAAGACATCCCGCGGTGGACCGGAATAGCCGTTCAGCCCCTGACCGGGAACGATAATGTGCATCCTAGTGTTCTGCTCAAGAGACCCCCCTTGCCCGGAAATAAGGGGTTTTCAGTGTTGAAAAAGTGGGTCGAATGAGTAAAAACGGACAAGGCCATCCGTGTTTGCCTATGGACGTTCGTTCTTTTGCAGCACCGATCAGTGAAACTAATTACGTCAAAACGTTTGAGCCTGTGCACCCGAAATCTCGGGAGCAAGGCAGCAATGGTTTGGGTTTCAGTTTCCGGAAAACCGAACGACGGGCTGCTCGGTGGCCGCTGCAAACAGCAGCACGCGCCAAGCGCGAGAACAACCGTCGTGAAATAATGATGCCGAATGTTTCAAAATTAATTCACACCGTTCAAAGATAAGACTGTGCGTATCTTTGTCGCAACTTTAAGGTTGTCCTCTGGACAGATAAACAGTTACAGCAGCATATACAACAGCACATTAGACACTCTTGCTTTCCATTTCAGTTTCACCACCAGATCCAGCCAGTACCACTTCGCGTTGCTGAAAATGCCAATCTGCTTTGACGTCGATCTGCAGATTGCACCGCTGAAATGGACGCCCGGACTGCCTTCTAAATGTACGATTTCATATCCTAAAGCGCTCTACCGCACTTCTTTCAGACGCATCATCATTTTCGTCTACCGGTTGGCCACGGCTCAGTGTCAGCCGCGGGGCGACGCTGCCCGGGCTAAGGAGACACTCAAGGCTGAGGTTTTTGTTACTAAGATTTGCGAGCGCGCATGTTCAAAACAACGCACCTAAATTGTGTCACTAATCGATTTTGACTGAATGTTTAACATGCCCAGGCAAACATGGCTGGGCCAAGCCAAAACAACAAATTGTTGACCCACTTTGATCTGCAATCTACATCCGCGTGGTCCCCAGGATCTGTGCAGAACCTAAGTAAAATTATGGCGGAGATTCTGAGTTTTGTCGCTTTATGAAGAGTCCACTGGACTCTTGAGAAGTGGCGAGAGCCGACTTTTATTTCGTTCAATCGCTTATAGCACGATTTCTACCGTCAATTGACCATACAATTCGGTCAGAATCATGCTGGCCGAATAACGAAAAACGACTAACGTTCTACCCTAAACGCGACATGAGGTCAACATTTTAATGGATAACCTGCATTGCCCCGTCTGGGTTGGTGAACCGACTTACGGTGGTCAAAATTTTCTTCTTTTTTTAGTTCACGCAAGAGGTCAAATAGATAACTGTAAGGCTAGTCAGAACTTGACGGAGCTGCACAATATCGTTTCAGCGCCACGCTTGTTGGAAATAAGGGCAGACTTCTTCCCATGGCAGTCGAACATTCATGTTGCATATGTTGCGAGGAGCTGTAGCCAACGTTCCAAGCATTTCAAAGCCTCCCCCTGTAAAGCTGCAATATGGCCCAAGTTCGAGCACGAGGGCGCAGGTGGGGGGCTTGAGTGCG